AATTCACTATTTAACTGTTTCACCCAAATAATATTATGAATGGTCACTCTAAACACTTTCATAAAGCATCATGTGGGAAAGGATACAAACTTTTAAATGCATGTCACAGAATCATACTAATATAAGCAAAGAGGCAACACTTAGTGCTATAGCTGCCTTATCGGACTTAATATATCAAAAAGACCTCTCAGTAGTTAGAAGTTCGAAGTTAACTGTCATTGTAACTATAGATTGCAAAACCGCATCTTTTTTCCTCATTGTTTACCTTCTGTTTACACACAGTTGATGAGAAATTTTATCCTATGAAGAAATGAAGCAATCCAATTTCACTCAATTTTTTCCTCCAGTTCTTTTGATGAATATTTTGTGATTCAAATTATATGCTCTTCCTAGCCATGCAAAGGTAAAACTCCTTAGTATTATTTTCATAGCTACTTTTTGTGTTGTTAGCTTTTTAATATTCTTTTCGTCAAATCCCATTATTTATTAAATTTATTATGATGTGCACATTAAATGAATTGTCTTATAGTCATCATCATTAGCCTTATCCCCATTATTTAAAGTCAGTTTTATGAATCAGTATTACATTCATTAATGTTGAATGTTGCTAGAGATTTTAAATTCATTACAAATCCTTTTGAATAACTTATATCCATGTTACTTTATGTCTAGTAAGATTTTTTTTCTTAAGCTTTTGACATTTATTCTTATATATAAATAGAAAAAAGAAGGTACATTATATCTGCAAATCAACTTGATGAAAATGTGAAAGTGCTCACGTCATAAACTCAATGTGTGAATGATGGAGAGAGCACAGATTGTTTTCATATTACATAAATAATTGTTACTTTCAAGTAGCAATTTTCCAGTTTAATTTAATATGGCAAGTCTATGATGAGGATACCTATCAGAATTGAGAACAGAACGCGTTCTCTAATATTTTGATTCCCCAAGACAGTTTTGACATACTGCTTAAATTGCACGCTGTTTTAGTTCATCTCACATCAGATTCAAAGCTTCAGCGCATGTCAGATTCCTCTGTTTCTATCCATGGCTTGCTTGCCTTTCTTTTGAAAGGATATTTGCTTCTATTTTTGAATTTGTAAAACAATTGGGATTCTGTGGATAGAATTGAAGTTTGATAGTGGACATTTTACCATTAATTTGGGGAAGGTGTTGCCATTTTTGTGCTTTCTTATTTTTTGATCAGGTATCATGCGTACACCCCTGAGGCGGATCAACCTCAATGGATAATAAAGTAGATGAGTTTAATGAGCCAAGCTAAGCACTAGCTCGTCAAATCAAACTCAATGGACTCGTCTGCCAAGTTTGATGGAGGCAACTCTCCACTTGAGCTCCAGACAGAGGCTCGCCTAGCCAGGTTTAAGGAGTCTACCCACAAGCGAAAAGATAGATTTATGCCCATCCAAAGGAAGCATCCACAATGGCTCCAAGATGGCTTCACCTTCATCCAAACTGGCCTTCATAAGCCAACTAGACCAAACATGCCGACTACGATCATTGATGCCCTCCGAACTATCAAGAGATCCTGCGGCACACATCGTTCGCCTAGCCTGATCTTCTATCAATGTAATAACCAACCATTTGTACTTCACAGTTAATTTTACACGAGTAATGTTCATTATGTGGTTTTTTTTGTAGCGCATGCGACCCAAATTCTAACATATAAATAATGGATTTGGGGATAGTCAAAGGTACAATCTTTTTTACTGCTTCCCCGTCTACTCTGTTATAGAGCATCCTGAGCCATATATTAGTGAATTTACTTCCTCAACCCATCTATTTTCTTGCTTTTTTTCTTTTCCTCTGAATTAGTAAGGTCCGGTCATCACCCACAAACAAATCAAAATCCAAAACCATGCATCTAAGACAAGTTTTTATTGCATTGATTCCCTATTTACTTGTATAACTTTGACACTGCTTTGCACTAAAATAATGACTTAGAATTAGTACTTCTTTGGGTGTTGGCTGCAATCAAAATTTATTCCATTTAACTACTATTTTTATTTTGAGAAACAACCAATGGTAGGTTTAATTTTGATTAGAAGTATGTCTCTGCACATAAAATTCATTCAATGATTAAAAAAAAAAACTTTCAGAACTTTCAGAACAACTCAAACTTATTCTCAAACTTATTTGCTCTATTGGATGTGAATGTTTCATTTGTGATAACTATTTATGCTAATTTTTGAGCGACAGTTTTTTCCTTACTCTGACATCAGACTTCAATATTTCTTGGTGACTTCAATCCTTATTCCATTTTTATCGCTTGCATATATTGTGATTGGTTTTGTGTGTGACTAATATTTTATCAAATCAAATACAACATTTGTTTTATGATATGAATCATAATTAATGTTTAGGAACAAGTAGCACAACTACTTGTTCCCTACCTGTTTTGAGGAACGACCTAAGCCGTACATGTGGCAGGTTCTTTAAGGTGACCACGTAATTAAGTCAATTCACGAATGACAGAGAAATAAAATGGGACCAAACAAGTATATGATAAAATGATCTCAAATCCTAGTATCGAGATAGCTCAATCATTTCATAGCTCGACTGTCAATATCTTAATGAATTCCTAGGAATGCTTCATAATAATATTCATAATAATAAGTTGGCCATGCTCGCCCATCTAACTTCCTAGACAACTCAAAAAAGTGGTCCAACTCAAATAAAAAATGAGAACAACAGTGTTGAAAGCTAGATAAAACAAGGGTAACAGGCATGTAGAGCATTCTCGAAATAGTCCGACACCTCTATTGTCAAAAGGGCACAACCAACAAAGACAAGAATCGCCCTAACATTAGCTACTAGGTTTCCCAAAGTGGCAAGCCAAATTAATTATACATCCAAAATTATCAAATAAGATCTTTCAGCCCTTACCACCATTAAAAATGATGATTTGGTTTCTTATGACTATAAATATAGATTGCATACAAATGAATTTCTTTGCAATTGCATACGATAATCACTAGTTAATATATTTATTCTATATGAACTATAAGTCGAACACTTTTAAATTAATTTTAAATTTGAAAATCTCAATTCTCATCTTTTATAAATTACTTATACCTATTATTGATAACTTATATTTTCAATAATGTACTTCTCTTTTCTCACATTTATATCACAAATTTAGGGTTCAAATGAACCAAATGTTTTATAAACTATTCATAGCTTGAGTCAATAAGTGTTATTTTACATTCATTTGATTAACTAATTGAACAAATTTGAACACTTTTATAAATGCTCGATTGTTAGATGAATAAGCTTGAAAAACTCCTTATTTGATTCATTTATGTTTGCAAAACATATCATTTAATGCTTATGAATAAGATCAATTAAAGCTCAATTTTAACCTTGTGAATAAATTCAATTAAGGAGCAATTTAAAACTCACTTATACTATGGTAAATTAAGATTTTAATTCAAAGTACATAAAACAAGATAAACACTTGTTTCCTTAGTTGTTTATTTATTTTGTATATGTATATGCTTATTTTAGTTATTCATTTGGTAGCTTGTTTATTTTTTTAAGTCTAAAAAATAACACATTTATTCATTAGATAAAACTCATTTGATTAAAAAATAAGTAGCTCAATCATATTACTCATTAGTTTGTTCGATGGTACCCATTTAATTATAAAATAAATAGCTAGATATGATCTTGATTTTTTGGATAAATTTCATTTGGATAGAAATTAAAAAGCTCAATAACACCACTTGCTAATTTGCTCGATCGTGGCTCAATTATCATCATATGTAATGAACATGAAATGAACGTAAACAATTTAAATGATTGAACTAAGATTCAACATAAACATATAAACTCAATTTGAGCTTGAGCTCAAATTTTATAAACAAGCTCAAAGTTGAACACGGCCTCAAAAGCTATTTAAGCTCGAGCTTGAGTTTTATAAATTGGCTCAAGCTTGAACACAACTCTGCTCGATTCATCTCTATTCGTTTAAAGCCCTATATCACATGCATTGTCTCTGTGGGGTTTCACCTGCTTAGTTAGTTTTTTACAATCACACGCCTTTTGTTTTATAATTTTCAAGTTACAAATCTTGCATCATTTAGAGGATATTTTAGGCTCATTCTTCAGATATAACATTGAAGATATTTAATATTAAATTATATAATTGATTCAATAGTATAACAATAATTTATTTATACTGTTAAAATAAATTAGATATAGATTTACATACATAGCACACAATTTCTATGTATTTACATGTCTCACACCTAAACCTTTCCTATTTACACACATAGCGCTCATTTCGTTAACAACACATAAAAAAGAGCACTATTACCTCGTCTTAAAAGTAAAATCCACATTTTCATGCATAGGTTTAAAGCACCAAAGTGCTGTGTATGTAAATATGAAAGTTTAGGCGTGAGATATGCGTGAGATATGGGCGTGAGATATGTAAATACATAAGAATTGAATGCTGCGCATGTAAATTTTCCATGATCTTATTGGCGGACATAAATGGCATGCACAACCAGAAAAGTAATAGAAATTGCATAACAAAAGTTTACCCATGGAGCATGGAATCTTTTCTTCAAAAATAACAAGGAATATCAAAATTTCGTGCAGATTATGCATGTAAGAATATTATAAGAAGAAGGGAATGCATATGCCTGTTTGTGCGTGCTTTGGCAATCAAAATTTCGTGCAGATTATAAGAATATTATAAGAAAAAGGGAATGCATATGCCTGTTTGTGCGTGCTTTGGCAAATCAAAATGGAAATTCATTGTCACCTTCCCAGTCCCTGACGGTATTTATTCGTAAATTAGCACAGCTCCTAGAGTTTTTTAAATCTTAAAATTGCACTAACATCACCCCTTAATCCCAAAATCAAGAGCCATGGCGACTTCAACAACTAAAAAAAATGAACATACATATTTACATTATAATAGTCGAAAAATATTGTCAAAAATGGAATGGAAGGGTTCAATATGCAAGCACCTTGCTGGAGCTGAATGAACTGAAGAAGGGAGATCCGGCTGATCGGCGATCGGTAGGTGGAGGAAGGGAAGAGTCTATAGAGTTGAGGCCGTTCAGACACTGAGAGGGGGAGGAAAAAGAAGGATTGAGAGCTCGGTTGATGGTTAGGGTTAGGGCTTTAGATCGGGAAGAGAAGAACCGCGACGCCATGTCCGAGCTCAGCGCGTCAAAGCAAACAATTGAGCTAGAGAAAGACAGAAATGGAAGTTTAGGTAGCTTTGATGCAGAATTACTGAAGATTTACATACAAACCACTCAATTGCTATGCATTTACAAATCCAACCCCTTTCCTTCAATTTTTACAAAATATCTGCCTGCTCAAGGGACAGACCAGGTAGGGTCCAAAGAGGTCAATTGAGATACCTATAAACATAGTAATTGGTTCGTATGTATGTAAATGCCCCTGCTAATAAAGGCATTTAATAATTAAGTGTTTTAAATAGGAATATTTTCACACGTACCACCCTAAATATTATATATTTGGAATTCTATTTATAATTTTATAGTTTTAAATAAGTTTGTTTGCTCATACACCATACAACTTTTATGTAATTACATGTATATAAAACGCCTGAGTTTTTATTTTTACATTTATAATACTAATTTTTTTAGATCACAAAGAAAATAAAAAAAAATTGCTAACTTTAAAATGAATATATATTTTTCATAAAAAGTTGATCTCCTATAAATATGAAAATTGACATTTTAAATATTAGAAATCAAAATACATATAAATTGCATGTTATTGCTGGCGTCATTTGTAGCTCACTTCTTATGCATCGCTCTGTGCAATACCTCGGGGCTTAACCCAAGGCCTTATGGGGCATGATTCTTTAGATATTTCTATAAAAAGTCTAAAGTTGTAGAGATGTTAAACAACATTGTAAGCATGGAACTCTCTGTCTTGAAAATGTCATTTGACCTTCGAGGCCAACATCTCGGCCCAAAAAGTTGAAAAGCTAGAGATAAAATTAGTATCACACTCATGAATCAAATAGTTGAATTGACAGAAACTCATTTATCAGCTCATACATTTTAGGTTACGTTTCTTCCTTAAATTAATATGTTATAGTAGTTGTGTCAAATCACTTTGGGAGCACATCATGTTAGAGGGTCGAGCCTACACACAACTCACATGCCCAAAGATCAAATTTGACACACCCTTATACTAAAAAATTAGACATCAAGTTGACAAAACCATATTTTATAATATCATGCACCCAAGATTGAGTTTCTCTTCGGAGTCATCACACCATTATTGCCATATTAGGATCTTTTTGTGTGACATGCGTTGGATGGCCAAACCTAGACATCATACTCTATAAGTATGATTATTAAACCTATAACATCTTCCCTAATGAATTCAAATGCAAAGCCTACATATCATGTTTAATGAACTCCAAGACTATGATAGTCTGTGTAGGCTACCATTCATCTTGGCGGAGATGGCAGTGACACCCATACATGCAGTATATTCGATACCAATTCAAGGTGCTTGTAAGGTTGTGATAAAGAAAATAAAATTTTAAATAGAATTTTGAGTATTATAGATAATTCATTTTTTAAAACTCCGAAGAATAGCTTTCTTAGGCCTTAAATCATGTTAATTATTATTAAAAAAAAGATTATTTAAATTGCATTAAACCTTTCAAAACGTTACAAAAAATGTCAGACAACTAAGATCCTGTTTGGGGCAGCTTATTTAGTGTAGTGTATTTTGAAAACATACTCAGAACCATTTGGTAAACTGTGTTTTGACAACTTATTCAAAAAACAGTGTTTTCAAACCACTGAATTTAGTGTTTTAACACCGTTCATCACTAGATGTGGTCGCAGACTATATGTGGTCGCAATTTTCTAGCAATGGTTTGACTTTTAAAAAAAAATTATAATAGCCATCGAAGCTTTTTGAAAAACAGATTATTTTTCAGAAACTTATCAGTATGTCACTAGATGTGGTCGCAATTTTCTAGCAATGGTTTGACTCTTAAAAAAAAATTATAATAGCCATCGAAGCTTTTTAAAAAACAGATTATTTTTCAGAAACTTATCAGTATGTTATTAATAAACTGCAGCTGCCCCAAACAGACCCAGAATAATAAAATTTAGGTATCATTTAAGAAGACAATAAAACTTTCTTTCGTTTCATGAATTTGCTTTGGTCTGGTAAAACAGTGTCTAGAAAGTTATTTGGACAAAATGATAAATTTTCTCCCTTTTGATTGCATACGTCAATCTCCATTTTGTGGAAGTGATTTTTAGAAGAATTTTCTTTGAATGAAGAAGCATCTTCAAATGAGGCCCAAATTAATTCATAATGTATTTAGGAAAATTTAACTCACGAATGTAAGACGAGTTACCGAAGTGCCTCTAAAAACACGGCAAATGGAGTTAGAGCTGAACATCTCGTCACCGCCGGTAACTATTCTTCTTGCATCATCTTCATTTTTGTTTCTCTAGATCTTGGTTTTTCCTCTTAGCATAGCGATAAGGAAGAAGAAATTGCAGTTATAGGAAAATAATCGGCGGGGGAATCATTTAAGAATCTCCCATCAATTTCTCCGAAGTGGACTGCGGAGAACTGCGAAACTGAAGGGAGAGGTAGAAGGGAGATGAGATCCAGCTGGTTCTGAATGGGCACACTAACTGGCGACTTCATTGATCCCACGCGATATCGGTGGAGGCAGGGTGCATCGGCGGTGCTTGCTTTCTCCGGCGGTTAAAGTATCGATTGAGCTGCGGGGCCTGGTGATCGATTTCTTGGGTTTGTTTATAGTGGTGGATGGGAACGGCGTCGGAGGGTTCCGAGGGAGGAGGGATTGTAGGCGACTGCGGTGTTGGGGCAATCGTGTGGGTGCGGCGTCGCAATGGTTCGTGGTGGCCGGGGAGGGTTGTCGGTTCTGAAGAGCTTGCCGAGTCGCATGTCATGTCGTCGAGGTCGGGAACGCCGGTGAAGCTTCTCGGGAGAGAGGACGCCAGCGTGTGAGGATCTTCGTTTATTGTATAGTATGATATGCTTATACTGCGGCTTTATGTCTTTTTTGATTGGCTTCCATTTCATAGAAATCATGGAATTGTTAAAAGAAAGAAAGGCATGAAATCAATAGAAGAAGTAGTGGATTAGTGATATTCCTTTTTTCTCCATTTTCTTTTTCTCACCGAGGTTGTTTTTTATTGCTGCATTGTGCTTGATTCCTTATTTATTATGTGTTTGTATTTTTTTTTAATCCTTTAGATACCATATTTCCTTAGAATTTGTGGATGATTCCTATTTGAAAATACTTAAGTGCTGTGCATGGCCTAGATTTAAGGTTTCCCACCCCGTTCCTTTGTGTTTCCATGGTTTGAAATCTATATTCATGCTACTAAATTTGGAAGTATGTCGTTTGATCCCGTGTAAAAACTGTAAACCATTTGATCTTTGAGCTGTGGTCATTCACTGAGGATTAGATTTAGATTATTTGTTTTGAATAATTGTGATTGGCAATGTTAGGGACGAGCAAAGGTGAAGGTGAGCATATGATGCAGGACTTTGAACTGTGTGTTACCAGGATGAAAATGATAGATGATGGATAGATAGTTTGATGATTGTTTCTTTACCAACTTTGTTTTTTTCATGTGAAAAAATTGAGAAATTCTTCTAGCTATTTGTTTGGAAACATGGAAACTTCAAAATACCTTTTGTATTTTGTGTATATAGATAAATATATTGCATATCCAGTCATGTACTCGACATGTTTAAAATTTTTTGGAAATGTTCCAAGGTAAAATTAGGTTTCGACATGGGCTGAACATGGCTTAACTTGATGCGTGGACGCTTACGTGAGGGACGATCTGTTTATCAGATATTAGTATACATACAAAGATTGGACAACTGATAATTCATGAATATTAATGTTATAGTTTTATTAACAAATCACAATTGATACATGTGTTGAAGAATTACTTTTATCATTAATTATGTCTTTTTTTCGGTAATTTTAAGCTTTTTCATTTTATGAATCATATGTATATGGTACTATACTACAATGGATGATGCCTTTAATGGGAAAAAAAAAACTATAAATTGCATATTATCTGTCAATATGTTATAAAATATAGTATCGCCACATGTCATTTCCTATTTATGACGAGTACGTCGTGTCACTATGGCTATATCATTTTGTGTTCGTGTCATCGTGTCACAATGGCTATATCATTTTGTGTTCGTGTCATCGTGTCTATGCTTTAGAGGTTGAAAGAAAATGAGGGGTTTTGGAATATGTATGTAAAATGTCCATTAACAAATATGCTTCACAAGAACGATGATTCTTGGGTTGTTAGCATAAAAAACAACTTATGTATTTTGTTACGAGAATAAGTAGTTACTTTTTCGCTCTCTTGTTTTGTACCCTTCATTTTGATTATGGAAATTAGAAGTCAGATTTATGCATAGAAGTTTTACTTATTTTGAGTGGTAAAAGTAACTCATGGAAATTTATCATATTTTAGCTTTTTATACTGGATGTTCCATGTTAACATGGTTGCTTTGCTATATTTATTAACTACATAGAATTACCAGCTAGGGAAAAAAAATTAGTTTGCTAAATCGTTTAAGTCATGGTTAGCAATTGCATATTATCTCAAGATATCAATCTTTCAGCGTGGGTGCATTAATATATGTAAACTAAGTTTTAATCTTGGATTAAAAATGGAAGTTAATGAATGCAAAATTTTACAGTGCAAATGTCAGTTAGATGAGTTTTGCCATCCAATGCATTTAGTATGCAAATTTTCTATTTTGAAGTAATGAAAGTTCTTATTCATTGGAATGGCAATGATTGTGCATTGATATTTGGTTTTTTAATATTTTGTGTTTTAGTTTTCTAGTTCATTTTAGTTTATTACATGCTTATCATGTTTTGATGTTGATACTTAGGAGAGTGGGATGTGTTCTCTGGTTTTTCTTTTTATGTTTGGTTTACTTTTGCATGGGTTTTCTGATTCAACTCTAAGTTTCCTTTTACTCCATTGTTCTTTGTTGTCTGATATTTTCTTCATGTTTCAAGTGCATTGCTATGATGACACTGACTGTTTTTTCCTTTTTTGTGGCATCTCGATTTAGACAATGTAAGTCTGCTCGGGTTTTCCCTACTGGAGCTTCATTTGTGGGTTCTTTTTTTATGAAAAAAATATTTCTTCCTTGGCACTATAGCATAGTCAGTTGTCGTGGGTAGCTTTCCTTATGTGCTGTTTGCTTCAGGTCTGTCTTCTTTGGCTTTTTTCCCACGTGCTGCTGTTGTTCTATTCGTTGTTTCCTTCCCTTGCACTGTAGTAGTGATTGTTTCCTTCTATTTCCCAAGCATTGCACTGTCGAAGATTTCAGAAATTGATGGAATTGCTGTGAAAAGTTTTCTTATAGTGGAAGTTCTTTGTTTTGTTGAAATTAAGGCTGAAAACATGCTGTTCTTACGTGTTGATTTGAGACATGTAACTTTTGGCAAAATCTCACCGAGGTTGTTTAGTTGCAAGGATTTAGGATTCATGCATTTTGTGACTGCATTGTAAATTAAATAGATTACTTCTTTTAATTATTTGAATTATTTGGTTGATTGTCAAATAAACACTATAAATTATTTGTATGTCTGGTTGATTTGAAGTAAATGCAGGAAACATAGAATTCCATATTGCAAACATCCATGTTATGGAGCTAAAGCAAAAGAAAATTGGAGCTAGAGCTGGAGAGGGAGGCATCACCTGAATTAATCATCAAATAAACACTATAAATTATTTGTATATATGTTCCGTGGAGATGAGGCTCTTATTTCTCATAGTGCTTTTCATTGTCGGTCTATTGCATCTGTTTGTAAATAATTATTTCAATGTTTCTTCGGAGAGTACTTGTTTGGCCAGATGGAGGCATCACCTCTTTTTAGATCATTAAAGATTTATGTTCTTCGGGTGATATTTCTTTATAATATGTAATGCATTTTTATTTTACTCAGCTGTTTGCTTTGTTTGTACAGAGACTGTTATAATTTAGAGAAATCCAAACGCGTCAAGCCATTCCGATGCGGGGAGTTTGATGCATGCATAGAAATGGTTGAGGCCTCTCATAGCACTCCTATTAAGAAAAGAGAAAAGTATGCACGTCGGGAAGATGCCATTCTTCATGCACTTGGACTAGAAAAACAACAGCTTGAATTGCAGAAGGAAAGCACATCTATCTCATGCCATGCAGCCAATAAAACCTTATGCCTTTCAGAAAGAGAACCAAATCATTGCTCTTCTGAAGCAAACCAGGAATCTCAAATGCCTACATATAGAAGCAGAAACTTTAAGAGAAGCGTTGACGAAGATGACAAGCATGAAACGGCAACTCATAATAGTGTAGAAGATGCTAGTTGTGATGTTGTGAAGTTAAATGGAAAGCTCTATCTTTCTGTTGCTGGGGGAAATTCTGATATTACTGATGATGATCACAGCGATTTGCTTCTGCATGGCGGACAAAACTCCAGATTTATAAATCAAGCAGTGACTGACACAAATTTTTCTGTTTTTAAAAGAAAAACACTTCTGCCTAACTCAATTAATGACAACCCTGCTAAAAGACGAGATAGGCGTCGCCCTCTAGTAAAAGTCTTACAGAATAGTACAGAGTTACCTGTTTCTTATTCTTTTCAGCCCCACCATGATCCCAGTGGTAAACCGTTACCTGCGGAAGAACTCCTTTTGAATGCACAAAAGAACACTATACACCCATCACCCCATGCTGATATTCCTTTAGATCATTCTATCCATTCATGGAAATGCACACCGACGGATTCTGGGAATGCTTTTCAGCTGCAACAGCCTGGTTGCATGTCCGGTGAGAGCACACCATCTGGATGGACCGAAGAAAATGATTTCGATTCTTCTGCAACAAATTCTGAAGTTGAGCTGGTTGAAGAAAAACTTAGATCAGGTAATTAGCTTCATTTGTTTCATTTTTCATTAAAATTTCTCTGATTACATTAATCTTTATTTATTGTATGGCCTTGCGACTAAATAACTTCTCCCTTTCTTTGGTTGCCTTTGTGCATCACATTTCTCAATGAATGTGGTATTTTGGTTTGAAGCACTTTTAGCAAAAGAAAGAACTTTGAGTGTTTTACTTTCGTTGTATTTATTTACTCTTCAATTTCAAGAATTTAGTTTTGTTAAGTCCTTCAACACTGCTAATCATTTTTGTATGAAACTATTCAATTTTAAATGTGAATATCTTTTTTTGCCTTATTTGACGTCCCGAGCTTTTTTTGTAACTTGTTCAATGCTGGATTTTCCATTTATTTACTTGTCCGAGCTTTAGCCGGTAACTGTCATCCAATTTATTTCCCCCTTTTCTTTTTTCATATGTACTTACATTCTTTGTTTCGACTTTGTTGGGCTATAGATTTATCCAGTGAATTTGATCTTTATTTGGTAGGATAGCGTCTCTTTTAGAGCTTTTATTAACTATAATCTTTAGCTAAGATTTTGAAGAATACAAAATCGACCGATCCTTGTCCAAAATCACATTCTCTCATATTGAGAGAGTTAGAGATAAAATATTAGTTACTTAAAACCGTTAGCAACATTCAATAGTTCGAAGAAGGATGTTTTGTATTCAAAACCAAGTAAGCTTTGCGATCCAAACGCGTCTGATCCTAAACTAGGAGTGTGATACTCTCACATAGTTCTTTGTTAGTCAGATTTAAGAGCATACTAAGAAGCAAAATTGTGGAGAACTAAGAAAATGCCCACATGTTGCTCATATTTTTGTATTTTAAAAGATTGATAAAATATTGTGGAGAATTCCATTAATCATTGATACACGCTCGATTGATGGGGAAATCAGGGCACCATCGAGTTAGTGTTGGTGCTCATTCAAAGTCAATGTTCGAAATTGAGAAGATCACTTTAGACTAATCATAATGGTTTTTTTTTGTACTTCAAGTCAACATCAGACAAATGATATGCCATCTACAATGGTTAAGCAATTGTTGATAGCAACAAACTGCCTTATTATTATCATTGGAGGCAATAAAATATGTTTATTTGATCAATAATGGTGAGGAAGATGAATGAGTGTGGTTTGGTTCTTAAATATTAGATCCTGAAAATGAAGCATGCGGCTAAGGAAATACTTGAAGAGGTGAAGGGCTAAAAAAGCAATGATAAAGAAAAGAGCATGAATGATGACAAAGTTGGAATAAATATAAGTGAAAATTAATTCTCTTCTAATCTACACATATCATAAATTTAAAATTTTTAATTATGCTTTGTTTAAAAATTTAATTTTGTAAACATTTTAAACTTTGAATATAACTGAACTTGAAGATTCATTTTTTTGGGCATGATATAACGTGATGCTTGTTATATGATAATCTTTAAAACTATCCATCAAATTTAAGTAAATTAATAAGAGACATGAATATTATTTTCTTATGCTCTACTTGGGCTAGTTTCCTGTGTTTTAGGCATTGGACAATCATATCATTTTGATTGTGACATGCACTTTTGATAAAACTGATAATAGATGATTAAATAACCCCACAAGCATTTAAATAAAGGAAACTATCTTAAAATTTATAAAATAAAACATAATGCTAAATGAAAGAAAGAAGATCAAAACGTATTAATAAGATGAGTAATCACAACTGTTTGAACAATTAAGGATAACATTAAATAGATTTATCAAAAATAGTGATTGTACAAGTTGACATTTGTAGGAGCAACTAATGCAATGTATAGGATCAAGTGGATATCCATGAATGAACTTATAGGTTTGAGCGATTGAGGATGATTGTGATTGTATATTGCATTAGTAGATGAGGATTAACAGATTAAGAGAGTTACTAATGGCGATTTATCAGAATGCATGGAGGAGGTTGGTGATAACAACTTGCTTGAGTGAGCAATTGAGAAGCAGGCTACCAGGCTCTACAACAGGTAGTGTTTGGAGAAGTTTATGATTGCAATATACAAAATAAGCAATTGAAGAGGATTGTGTTTGCAATACAAGAATAAAATGATTAAAGAAGTTCAATGTTTAAGATTATGCAACTGAGGTGGGCCTTAAATCGCGCCTAAGCACAATTAAAAAAAAAGCTATGAGGTGTATGCCTCATGCTTGCTGGATGAGGCGTGCCTGAATTGTAATGATCATTTTAATCTATAAAACAAACAATTTATGCGCACCTCAATACAAATTTGAAGAGGTGTGAGCTTATATTAGAGTTTAGGTAAATGTTAAATTATAATCTTATATATGAAAATAAACCTAGCTGACCCCACTTAGTGGGACAAAGGCTTGTTGTTGTATATAAAAATAAACGTATTTTTTACATTCTGTAACTATTATATTTTATTTTGTGATCAATCCTGTTAGGTATGACTCATATACTGGATAAGGGACAAATGCTGGAGCGGAAGCATCTGTTCAATTGAAGGAGCTTTTCGTTATGTGGGTTGAGGGTGCTGGGGCAATGCTCCCGTGGTACGGTACAAGGGTAATTTTGTAATCACATATGTACATCAGGGTTATATATATATATGTTTGTCGGCGTTTAAAAAGGGGGAGAGGTTACGTTTGGGGGTCGCCCGTAAGAAGCTGTCGGTCGCCGGAATCGAAATCCCGTCACCCGCTTCGGAAGGACTTTTTAATTTACATATATATATATAATTTTAGAAAAATACGAAATCAAACTGACCTCATATTTTTCACAGTTTAAATGAAAGAGCGCTCTACCTCAAATCCTGTATCTATCCCGA